ATCCTTGAATGCAAAAAAATTATAAACAGAAAGTCATATACAAAACTAATAACCAAATCAATAGGTGGCACACTCACCATCTTCTGGATCGTCTTGAACTCCTTAGGGTTTGTATTGGTTGGAACAAACTGGAGCGCAGATTCCACTTTGACAGGAGTCGAAGTAGAGTGTGTGGGGGACCCATCTGCCACCCACTGTTGGTGCAACAAAACAAAGCACATTAGGGCCTGCCTTTCTCCATCTTTAAAAGCATGTGACAACTGCTTGGCATCTGCTCACTAATAGGCGACTGCGTTCACAGCAATGCATTGTGCCTGTTTCCTATATTTTTGAAATGTGAACTAAGACTATCAATCTGCTTGAATTTTACAGGGCTCTATACTTATCAGTAAGAGATACTTGATTTATGAGAGTTAAAACCTCTGATAACGAGTTCTTGAAAAATGCGAGGCCCTTGTGCTTGGTTTTGCGTGTACAACTACCAATCTCATGACTTGACAGCGTCCAGTCACCAGTTACCAGAAACAGCGTGGTTTTTTTCGTAATTCTCACACCGTTCCAGTTACCAACAGCGTCCAGTCACCAGTTACCAGAAACAGGCACAACCCACACCAGTCAAGGTGAGCATATAGAACATTTAACATTCAATTAAAAATCAATTTTTAAAGTGTATCCTTTTTATCTCTCTTGGAAAACTATTTCAATTACCCTGAAACTTCTTGAAATGATCACCTTTACTGGTTCTTAAAATTTAAGTAGAATGAAAGCTCTGGTGAGATTGACCATTCTTTTATTAAAAGCCAAGATCGTACGCTGAACACACATGGCAGAAATACACGGCATGTGTTAAAGGCATAAAATGCATGTATTATGCATGAATATAGTGGCACTTTTGCCATGAGCTCAACCTACTTAATGCTCCTGCTTTTATGTCTGGGAATGACACATAACATCTCAAGTATGATATCTTAACTCCTAATGAACAAGAACTGAAAAATTCTGAATGCAGATTTCTGCTCATACACCATCAAAGTTGATGTGAACTTCACTGTACCATTCTGACATCTAAAGCATGAAACACAAGTGGCTGGAAAACTCAACCCTAATAATAATGAATGTGACATTTACTACAGTAAAACCTTAACTGAAGGAAGACAAAATAAATTGCATAAAAAAAGAGTATCCAAAAATACATTGCAATCCAGAATAACAAAATATAGTAAACTAATTAAAATGTGGGAAACTTTTATAAAATGTCACTATACTTATACTTCTGAGCATGAAACTGAAATGGTAAAACCTGTCCCAAAATTTCTTTAAAGCTCCCTCTATGACTTAAATACATACTGAGTCTTGGAAAGATTTTCGACAGGAGTACACACTTGAATACACTAATATCACTGCAGGATATATCAAATATATTGAATGACTGCTATGAATCATTATTTGACTCTTGAATGGGAGTGGGTGTAAATATATAAATGTACTGAGACTGTAACTAACATTTTCAAGAATAAATAGGAGAGACAAAAAGATTCCTCCCACACAGAGATGCTAAACAGAGCTACATCAAGCAAATGCTGCTTCCAAGATTCCCCAGTCGGACACCTACAACATGTTCACTATTTCCATTCACAAGAGAGGTATTGGGGCAAAACGGCAAGTAGGAATACCTGTCAACTGCCTGGATTTGAGCAAGATTTACCTGGACCAATCAAGACAGGTGCTGTAGTTAGTAAGAGTTCAAGTATGGCTGTTAACACAGTTTTTAAACAATATGTTTCACAAGAAATTTGCTTCTTTTCAAGAAATATTCCTCAAAATTAGTTGCAGTCATACATCTAATATGAATATTCAATAAAACCAGATTTCAGAATATCTTGGCACTTGAATTTTTAGAACTTCGATCATATCACTGTAACACCAGAGTAAAGACTAAAATTAGGACGTTATACAATTTCCATGTTTTCATGTACATACATACATACATATAGATACATATATCATATTATACACACATACACACACACACACACACATACATATACATACATATATACATACATATACAGTATACATACACATACACATATACATATATATTACACACATGGGGTATATATATATATACATATATATATATATATGTATATATATGTTATATATACATATATATATAATATATATATATATATAATATATATAATATATATATATATATATATATAATATATATATATATTATATATATATATATATATTATATTATGTATATATATGTATATATATATATAATATATATATATATATATATATATATTATATATTATATATATTATATATATATATGCATATATGTATATATATATATATATATATACATATATATATATAATATAAAATAAACATATATACATATATAGATACATATATAGATACATATATACACACATATACACATATATACACACATATATATGTGTGCGTATGTATGTGTGTGTGTATGTATGTATGTGTGTATGTAAGTGTGTATGTGTGTGTGTATGTATGTGTGTATATGTGTATATTTATGTATGTGTGTATATTTATGTGTGTATGTATTTATGTGTGTATGTATTTATGTGGTGTATTTATGTATGTATGTATGTATGTATGTATGTATGTATGTGTATATGTATGTATGTATGTATGTATGTATGTATGTATTGTATGTATGTATGTATGTATGTATGTATGTATGTATGTATGTATGTATGTATGTATGTATGTATGTATGTATGTATGTATGTATGTATGTATGTATGCATGTATGCATGCATGCATGGCATGTTATTTTTTTCTTTGTATGTATATTTGCCAAACTTTACATATGTGTTAGTGTGTGAATTAGATGTGTTTTTTGTGAGCAAGAGTGTGAGGATATGAAAATAAATCTTAATACTAATTGAGTAGAATATTTTGACTGCAAAAGCTGCTCCATAACCTATCAGCAATAACATCCCAATTGAAGCACATAATGATTCCTAAAGCTATCTGTCACTAAAGTCCAATATCAGTTACTGTCTTTTTCTCCATGAATATTACAATGCTTATACCTAGGTCTATCCATGGATATTTCTATCACTCCACTGCAGTGAATTAAATCTATGGTTACACAGCTGCTGTGACTAAAATACGTAAAGTTCCTTAAAGCTAAGTCTAGGAAACACTGGCTAGCATTTCGTTGGAACAAGTCTCATAGGACTCCACATCAATTCTTTGGTTGCTATTAATAAGCATTGTTCTTAAACAAAGAATTACTACCTCAAAACTAGTGTGCCTTGAGAATGTATTTGAAAAGTGAATAGTGATGTTCTCTCAAAAATGTAATTAATAAACATCTCAAAAAGAAACTGAATCCATTTTAAAATTCACTTTCCAAAAACACCTATTATGACCAGTGCTGAGTATCTTAACACACCAAGTGTACATCCACACCTAGTACAGTATGAAGCTTATGAAAGAATACATACATTGTTCCTCAAAAGAGTTATCTTAAGAAGCTAGGCTATATTAGAATATTTTCATTAAGCTTCTAAACAGATTTTATGTTGATCAAGTGACTCGCTTTCAAACATTATGATCTGTCTTATCAAAATATGACGTGAAGATTCTTCACATCTGCTTACACAAAGTCATGCCTCAGCTTGTGAGGCCATCCATCAATGCATAAAGGCTACAAGCCTTCTGATGTAAAATAATATCACCAGCATTTATCTTTATTTGTTTCTTAAGTTATCAAAGATATCTTGGGGCATTTTCTGGAAGCTTCTAGAGTTTCATTCTGTGGCAGTCATTATAAATCCCTCTGACTTTGCAGAAATAGAAATGGCAGTAAGATCTTCCTCAGTATTTGGCAATTATTCCCTCTCCCATAACAACCAAATACTACACAGTCTGAATTGTATAGTATTTGCTTTAAAAAATTACCTTCTCATATAATTAATAATAATAATAATAATAATCAAAACATAGAAAAAAAGTCAGGGAACAATTCCATGCCACAGCATCACAGGTTTTATATTTAGTTGGAATCACAGACAAAGGTAACAAGTTGAAATCTCCAAACTCCAAAAACTGAAAAATCCAACTATGACATTAGCATGTAAATATGAGTACAAAGGGAATATATGAGCAACTAGAAGAATACTGTAAACACCAGAGGACAAAAACACCTGCAAAAGTCCTATGATGTGCTATGATGACTGAGAATTTCCAGCTCAACTGATTTTTTTTTTTTTTTTTTTTTTTTTAAATATAAATGAGAGTTAACCCAGCATTTTAAACTCCTTTTGGAAATATAGGTTAGTGCTCTGTACAGCAACTATCTGCACTCCCCCATAAAAAGATATAGAAATATTCTTCCACATGTTGAAATGTCATGGAATTGGTCTCAGACTGGAAATTCCAGATCTGTCCTCATCTCTCTGCCGTCTCCTGCTTCTCCCCCTCCTGCTTAGGACCCCCACAGTGCAGAGCAGGGAGCCCATAGGCAGCTCCCTCTGCCCCCATCTAGAAGCTTCTCCTTGTCCTATTTGTTTTCCACTGTTATGACCTCTACCTTGGTGATCTTCTTGGGATCCGGAGTGCCGGTCTCCAGTACTTCCACCTTCTGGTAGACATTGGGAGAGTTTAGCCACCGGGTCTTGTCCTGAGTCTTGCGTCCGTCCAGGATGCGCTTCAGTGGACTGGAAGATAAATAAACATGCTTGTGGTAGAAGGATATCCAAGAAAAACCCAAAGCAGAATACTGCTCTTTGATTATACCACTCAATCTCTAGGGTAAAATTAAAAAATGAACAAAAAATCAAGAAAAAAGTCTAAAGTAAGACAATAATGATACACATTTTTACAATACACCAAATAACAGTCTCTGTCATTCAAATCTTTGTCTCACCTCCGTGTAATATCGTCCTCATCAAAGAGGTGTGTGTAGTTGGAGGCTGTGGGGGGGAGCGCCA